ACAAGAGAAATACGAAGTTGCTGGAATTTCTAAAGGGGGTGGATTCCAATACTAGTTTTCTATGATAGTCAATAAGAACCCTAGAGCTACATCCTATGATCCTAAGGAAAAGAGTCATGACCTCAAAATGAGGTCAACAATAATCCGACGTTATGAGTTCTTGTCTTTGCTGGATGTCAATTCCTGCATTGCTTGACATGTCATTCTGCATCTCTTGTAAGCTTTGGCCAGAAAAAATGCTCTCTTACGAGTTCGAGGGTTTTGTCTCTGCTGAAATGTACTACTAGTCCTCTGTTGTGGCCTTCCTGGACAATAGACTCTCTTAGTGAACACCAGGGAATGTACAACTGACTCTGGTGGAACAGGTATCCATCTGTTCAGTAATATTGCCTGTTGGCTTCTCCTGACATTGCTCCCATATATTTTTAAAATCTTAGTTTGTTTCATATAGATCTTTTATAACCTCGAAACCCACAACTCAAGCCTGCATGGATGTGATCAATAAATTTCGACGACTCAGTGCATCTGCTATTCTGTTATGTCTTCTCACCTTGTGTTTTGGTACAAACTAGAATTTAGCTAGAAATTCCACCTATGTTGCATGGTTTTACTTTAGTTTGTTTTGGCTATTGAGAACTTTTAGGGCATCGTGATATGTAAATAGTGTAAACTCGTTTGTCAACGGGTAGTGACTCTAGCGTTCTAGAACTCTTACGATTGCGTAGAATTTTTTATCGAAAGTTGAGTATTTCTTCTTGGACTCGTTCAATTTCTCACTGAAAAAAACAATAGGATGTCCTCCTTGGCTTAGTACTGTTCCGATCCTCAAGCCGGAAACATAACATTCTAGCTCGAAAAGTTGGTTGAAGTGTCTGAGTTTCTTTTTCTTTCAGTGTGTCAAAACTGTCCTGGGCTGTTGCTGTCCAAGTTATTGATAATTGCTATGTTGGAGGGCTTAATCTTTATAAATAGTTAATATTTTATTAGGGTAGGGTGATGACCAATGATATGATAGGACATGAAAATAATTGAGACTTATACATTACAAAAGTGAAATTGCTATGATGTTATGCTTATATGGCTATGATGGGATTGTTGTGATGATTTTTCTATGATGACATTGTTATGATTATGAACATGCTTATGATTAAATACTTTTGACTACACATGAATGAATGACATAATAGTTTTACACAACAACATAATTTTCTACACTACTTGCTTTTCTTTTACATGTGTTATATGATTCTAACATTATGACTTGTGTATGGACATGCACGGTTACCTATAAACAGGCTTATTGGTCGTTTTCCGTGTATAAAATTTTATTTCAGAATTGATTATTTCACTGAGTTCATTGTTGCTCACTCTACTTTGTTTACTTTTAGAACGAGATAAGAAACATCACGATGAATAGTAAAGTGTGACCTATACAACTTTTACATTTATAGTTTTGGACCTTGTATAGTCTTGTAGCTATTTATTTTACTTATGTTGGATTTAACAACTCTGTATAAATATGTATATTTTAATGTTATGATATTCATGCTTCTGAGTATATGTGAATATAAATGAAATGAAATGTATCAAGTACTTTTGCGGTGATTTAATTAGACTAGTTCATTATCCACTTGCTCATGATTCTGCAAGTCAGTATGAGTGTTGGTGAGAATTCTCTGTCGCACCTTAGCTGACCCTTAAAATGGAGCTAGTTGGAGTGTGACAGAGGGAGATCTACGCAAAGCTTGTATTGAATGAAGAGGATCACGAACCGATTAGCTCGGGTTTGGGTTCCTTATACCTCATATTGTTTTCTTTTTTATGCCAAAAATAATAATTTTCAACCTTTTTTTTCTCATACATAGTAGTTAATTTCATTTTCATACTCATGTGTTGTAAGACATGTGGTTTTCTCGATGTTTTATTATATGGATTTTGTTCCCTACATGCATTTCTATCCTTGGATTTCATAGGTTGATGTGTTAACTTTCTAACCTTAATTTACTTCGACCGGATAGAATGTAAAAATTTATTGTGATCTAGAACTTTTAACAATCACCTAGAAGAACAGGTAAGCTAAATAATAATTTTCAACCTTTTTTTTCTCATACATAGTAGTTAATTTCATTTTCATACTCATGTGTTGTAAGACATGTGGTTTTCTCGATGTTTTATTATATGGATTTTGTTCCCTACATGCATTTCTATCCTTGGATTTCATAGGTTGATGTGTTAACTTTCTAACCTTAATTTACTTCGACCGGATAGAATGTAAAAATTTATTGTGATCTAGAACTTTTAACAATCACCTAGAAGAACAGGTCATAAAACACACAATCACTTGGTGGCATAGACATATTGTCATTTGGAAATTGAAAGCTAGATAAAAGATTTGAAGAATTCTAGAAAATGTTGTATGGTTAAATCTCTCTTAATTGTAATATGGTTTCCAAGTCTTCTTTGGACCTAGATATAGGTAAAGGAGGGTTGTATCCCTGGTTGTCAACAATAACGTGAGATTTCAAAGGAAAAATATTGAGAAATCACTAGACTGGTATCACAAGATTATGAACATCTCATCTCAAAAAAATTTCAACAAAACTTAATTTAATTTTCTTTTTTTTGCATTAATATTTTAGAACCTTATATACGTGCAAACTGAACCTTCAAATTAGGCTTAGTAGTTTACTAAACTAAGACTTCATCTTTTTAAATATTTTGAATACTTTCTATGTGGGATCGATATGTTAAATTTTAATATGTATATTACATGATCAACACATATACTTGCGTGATTAACTGATTACTTTGTAGCAATTTCGGGCATCAATATGTTTTCTCTGGCATATGCATATGTAAAGAAAATAAGCTGTTCCGTTGAGTAATCTATACACTAAAATTTTCAGAGTAGCAATTGGTGATAATTTTTAATGGAATCATTTGATTAAACTATGATGGCATCTATTTCTTTTTAACAGTTAAACATTTTATTATATTATTGAAGTCATACATTGTACTGCACCTACTAATTTCTCCTTAGACTAGTGATTGATCACTTCCATTATCCAGTCGACTTGTTAGGTGTATATCATCTTCATTCTACATTAAGCTAAAAACTAGGACTTTTAAAGATGTTATTTTCCTGAACTAATTTTCTTATGGTAATTGTAAAACTAGAGTTTCTCTTTTTTTGACAAATGTGGATATACTTAGTTATTTGTTAAGCTAAACTAGTCACATACCACTTCACGTTAGTTACTTTAATGGATTTAAATGATCAGTATTTAATGTTAAATGAATATTTTCTTATGAAATAGTCAGCACGTATTGTTAAAGTAATACCTTATTATAAACTACTACTACTGACAGTATCAGCGGACTTGCTAGGGGAAATGTTTGGCTTACACTTATAAGATTGCTAAAAAAATTTAATGATGCCACTTAGTTGCTTAAACATACTTTTTTAATGCCTTTATTGTATTTATGAAGACTATCACTAAGGAGAATTCAAATTAAACTCATATGTATCATATTATTTTGGTTACAACAAGACTGATTTTAAAGCACGTTCATTATATTAATTAAAACCATGATTAATGGCAACTTGAATGAGTGTCATTACATTAAGTTATCTATGCTATCATATTGCAGTGATCGGGTCATGTGTCATTATTTTTCATCTAAAGAACTCCAGTGCAGTCTAAATAGAATGATGTTAAAGAGTTATAGTTCTTTGAAAGATTGCATTTTGCATTAACAAAACTAAAATGGTAATACAAAAAAGTTAAACCAAGCAAAGAGATGGGCTTGGTCAAACTCAACAAAAGGAAAAAGGAAGGGGGGAACTATCCTCCTTCCGAACAAAAAAAAACTATCATGTAGGGTCCTATGTGTACAAGCATGTGCAACCATCCTTTTCTTTTTATATGTTGAAACAAAACCTGCTTCAAAGAAAACAAAAAGGAAAGATCTTCAGCTTGTTGCAGTTTAGCTTTTCATGCCTAACTGGATTTAGTTTGTTGAAGAGGAGATGATGTTGTGGTTGTGGCTTTCAATGATAATGCCCTTGGTTTCTTACATCCAAGGCTCAATAAACTTTTTGATGGAACAATGGCTTGAAGCCCCACATGAATGTTGTCCCCGTGTTCAAAGGCTTGCCGGCGGCAAAGAGAATAAGATCCATTTTATCATGAAGAGGGATGCCAATACCACCCGTGTGGAGGGCAGTAAAACCTTATCCACGTTAAACATAAGCCATCCTAGAGGAGGGACTCCGCTTGGAAGATTGCAATGGAAAATTAAATTGATTGTTGTCCCATTGCTTTGGAAAATGGAAATTATGGGTTGCGGTCATAGCTTCCAGGGCATTGGAGGGGAGAATAATTGGAGTGCCAAGCGCCCTCCCATGTTTCTTAGCCTTGCATTACATGCCCTCCAACATTGGTACACCAACTTGCAATAGACAAAAAGAACCCCAGCCTTGCTGTTGAGATTTTTTTGACGCTCAGTCCCCAATTTTAGTATTTAGCCTAAACAAAGGTAAAACATGATAAATCTCAACCATTTGAGATGCTTTAGTCTGAATCCACAATTGAGGGTAGGATGATGGGTTACAAAAAGGGGCATTACATACATAACATGCAATTCTTATGTATTTATGTATTTCAAACCTAAACTTTCATATTTGCACTCATAGCACACAAATATTTAATATCACATAAAAAATAGCACTATTATAACTTTTTAAATGTGCTATTTTTATAAGTATGAAAGTTTAGGTGTGAGATATGTAAATACATAAAAATTGTGTGCTACTTAGGTAAATTTCCCTTATTTTTTTCTGGCATGGTGAGACTTCTCTTAAAAAGTTTTCCATTTATTTCACATATACTATGATAATAAAGTAATTTTCCTTGTTTTATTTGTTCTCTTTCAAAACTCCGTAATTTACTGGTTGCATTAATATTTAGTTTGACTGTATTCATTTATTTTTTATATAGATTTCATTCAGGAGGGAAAGAATTCTGAGAGGACTGCCAGAAACTTCAAAAAGAACAAATTTGTTAGAGTTCCCCATGTCTATTGGGTATGAAGTTTTCAGGGGATAAAGATGTTCTTATTTGATTCTTTTTTTGAATCTTTCCATGCTGATGCTGTACTTTGGCTATATATTGCATTTATAAAATCTAATAATGTTCATTCCAGGATCTAACAACAAGTCAGGTTTTGACGATGGAATTTTGCAGAGGTCACAAGGTAATGCTAATTTCATATGGATAATGCTGTCCCTTGGATATATATATTTTTGGGTGTATTCTAGAAAAATAAATATAAATGATGTAAATCAAATACCTTTGTTGTAATTTGATTTTCTATAATGTTTATTAGAATTTCTGTAGTTTTTATGATGAATTCAACTATATGCTTTTTGAAATAAGGGACTGAGTTAGATCTATTAGATGATTATAAAAAGAGTAGTGTATTTTTTGTAACAAACTAGGCAGTCTAATTTTCTACCCACTAAAATTTGATTATTATAAGTCATGATTTTTGTCAGTGAATAATATTTTTGACTAGATTGCTTGCCTTTGCCATGACGTACTTCACCAAGTGGGGTGAAAATGGGGTCTGTTTGGATACAAGGAATTTGGTTTAGATTGATGAATTTTGTCTTTACTTTCTTATCAAAATTGCTCGCCGATCAAATTAAAGGGGCATTCAATTCTTCTTCCTCTTTTTTATTTAACTTGAACCCTCATTAATCTACTGATAGTGGGGTTAACCCAAACCATAATAGGGAAACCGAATATTATTACTCAAAAGTAAATAAACAGTTACAACTCATATATTGAAAGGAGAATTACAACATATATAACACAAAAACTTACACTAGGGTGGACCTAAAGTGGTGATGTGGCCTTTACGGGTTTGGAAATGTTGGTAGATGATTGGGATGGTTGGGTGGTGGTTGGAAGGTGGTGGTTGTAACAAGGTAGGGATTTTGCGTGGCTGTTTTGTGGGTGGCAGCAAGCATGGGATGGTTGGACAACGATATGACCGCAAGGGGAAATGCTTGTGGGGCTGCAGAGGTGATGCCAGATGGCGGGAAAGGGGTAAAGCAGCAAACAGACGGATTGGTGTGCTGCAGTAGCAAAGGTGGGTGTATGGGACAGCGAAAACAACAAAGCAGGTGGCTGGGGCAGCGAAGGGGAAAGGCAGTAGACTGTGGGACAGCAAAGGGGAGGGCTATCTGTGGTCTATGGCAGCGAGCCGCGGGATCGAAATATAGCCGGAGCGCCACTCAATTCTTAGGGAACGGTCACAACCTCGAACGACTTATTGTTGGAGCACCTTTTCTTCTTCGGATATAGCCCTAAAAGGGAAACAACGGCAGCTGGCGATTGTCCTGACAAAAATCTTAATAAAAAATAAACTAACCTAAACACAAAAAAATAACATATAAATATACTAGGGTAGCTAAGAGTTGGACTCTCCCAGTTAGGCGGCAATTCCCCATAAAGGAGTGATGATGTGATTCCCTCCTTCTTTGGGATGAACTGGTTCGCGCTGAAATTGCACTCTATTCGGTAGTAAGAGGTCACCCATCCCGCGCCTCGTGCGTCTCATGCGGGAGATACCGCATATGTCTCTCGTGCGAGAGGAGATGCACCCGTGTCAAACTCCTAGCTTGACGGAGTTTCGACCTCATTTGTCACAGTCAAAGCTTTTGGTTCCTCGTAGCACGGAGTCAACTATGTTATGTTGTAAGTAGCAAAAATTTTGTAGTCCCTTGACAGGTCAAACTTGTAGGCACTGACATTCTGCAACACGTCTTGATAGAATAAATATGCATTCTCTGTTGGCATATCCTGAGTGGGCGATGTATATAGATATTGGTTCTCGCAGTGTAACTCTTGAGCCTTCAAGTTTGAAACGTTCTTCTTGCATTTCTAGTACTCAGCAGAATGCAGTTGATAAACCAATATGTGAGGAGAAATCAACCCAAGTGTTATTTGTGGTAGGTTGTGCCACTTTTACTAGCAAACACTTAGGAGGGACCATTTCTTCACTAATAGGGCCCAGATCCCATTGAAGAACGTTCTTCCTCATCAAGCTTTTGAGACAAATTTTAAGGTTGGGGTTCATCTCTCTTGTCTTGATATTTTATAATGGATACCATGTTGAACTGAATCTGGCATCTAAATAAATCCTTGTAATCTTCCCAACATGACACAAGGGCCCCCCTTTATGACGTGTTGCATCTCCCTCTGTAAGGGTAACTCATGAATGAGTCTATAGATCTGAATGGTCTGAATTTCTTTCATTTGTGATCGTCTTGCCTCTGGTGTCAACTCTTCGAACTCAATGTTGTCTTCGACACTCATCATGAAGTCAGTCGAAGTTTCTCCCACAGGCTCGGCTGGAACTATGACCCCCCCC